TTTTTTTTTATTTTTTTTAAGGAATTTTATTTTAGGGAACAATACATAAATAAGGTATTTAAGTATCACCATTTCAAAATTAAGGTTTGAGGTTTTAAATTTCAAAAATTAGGTTTTCATTAAAATTTATTTATAATTTAATTAATTAATATATAAAGGTTACATATCTATACAATTTGGTCACAATTCAAAAAATTTAAGGTCACAATTCAAAAATTTTATTGGTTTAGATTCACAATTCAAAAATTTTAAGGCCACAATTCAAAAATTTTATAGGTCACGGTTCGTTCATCGGTCACAAATTAAAAATTTAAAAGTCACAATTGTTCATCGGTCACGAATCACAAAATTTATAAGTCACACAACTTATTTTATGGTCACAGAACATCAAATTATAGGTCACATATTACTTTTATTGGTCACAAATTAATAAATTTGTAGGTCACAAATTATTTCTAGGTCACAGTTTATTATTTATTGGTACATACCAACCAATTTATCAGCCACAATCAACAAATCATTTGTGATTATCACAACACAACACCATTGTCGTCTCCGTCTCCGTCTCCGTCGCCAACACCAACACCACCATCATCACCACCACTTCCCAGCAACAAAATCACTGTTTCAAACATCACAACCAACGTTTTCCTTACCACCGTCCCACCACCACCTTCACTGTGCTGTCGCCGCCTGATCCATCACCAGATCTAACATAATCGCCGCTACCCAAGCACCACCACAACCACAGCCCCCATCCACAACTGAAAAATCAGCCCAAGCGTCAACACCACAACCAAACATAATCGTCGCTACCCAAACACCACCACCACCACAGCCCCCATCCACAACAGAAAACAAGCCCAAACCCTCAGCACAAAGACCACCACCACTGCCGCACGCACACACACCCAACCAGCGCCCGTAACCACCCCCAAATCAACACCACACAACTCCACTGCACCACTAAAAAAAATGTCCATCTCCGATCTGCAGCAACAGCCACTTGTCCGTCTTCTCTGGCCCGATTTGCAGCACCGTAACTTTTCCATCGTCGCCCATAGATAAATGTCCATCGCTACAGTCGCGACATCGTCGTGGTGGTCCAACGATTTGAGGGAGAAGAGAGGCAGTGGTGGAGCGGCTAGGTGGTGTCAGTGGGGATGGTGCCGACAGGTGGGGTTGATAGGAATAGAGAGAGAGAGAGACGAGAAAATGGGCAAGGATAGATAGAGAGGGAGGTGGAGAAAATGAAATAATTAGGGTTTGAAATTGTGTATGATTGATTTAAATGAAAATTAATTTAAAAATGATTAATTAAAACAAAATAAAAATTAATTTAAAAATGATTAATTAAAACCTGATTTATGTATTATTAAAGTTGATTATGTATTTTTGAAAATGGTAACTTAAAAACCATTGTGGGTGTAATTCCCTTTTATTTTTATTTTTTTTGGCCCAGTGGGGGCAACTGGGCCCTTAATGGGTCCGCCCCTGGATGTATTTCTTTTCAAATTTTTATGATTGGTTTCATAAATGATATTTGCATGGTACCCGCAAAGACATACATTGAAACCTACAGCAATACAAATACGCCATAGGATAAAGCAGGTTAAGCAATTCATTAGAATTAATTTACAAAGGCATTCGTCATAGCATATCAACAAAAGGTATCAATTTGTGTTCCATACCAAACAAAAAGTAACCAACTGAAGTGCCTAGAAAGTGTTTCGACCTAATGATGACTCCTACACTCCTATATCTATGGCGAATAAAAAAAACCTAACTTAAAAGTTGAAGCATGTCATGCATTAACCACGCCCTTCAGCTTCCTGTGCCTCTTCACACTCCGTGGAACAAGATCAATGTCCATCTCATATCCTTCAATATGCTACTCGCAACCATGCTTGAACAGCTGAGCTGCCAAATATGACCTTGAGGTGGCTGCATCGAAGTTTTCTGCCATCGCATCAATCTTCCTGTGTATAACATATTCTGACAACTTTATCACATAAAGACCGCACTTGTGACTGCAACGTTGTTGAAAAAAGTAAGTTAGGTGATGCAACACTTAATGTGGAGAACATGTTGTGTGTGCGTGCGCGCTCATTGAAGGTATGTGCACAAATCTTTAAAAAATTATATATCTCCATAAAGGCTTACATTGATATGGAAAGTGTATTACACAACTAGTGACTATGAACTCACCCATACTCGTCCTGGAGTAAGCTAAATTTAGTTAGCGGAAAAATTGACTTTTACATTGTTTGAAACATGTTTTGTGAAACAAATCACCATGTATATATGTACACAAGAAAAATTAGGCAACAGTGAAATAAAATTGTACATTACGTGTTATCTGATATACGGACTTTCCTTTCAACTTGCTAGCGTTCTTTACGATCTCATCAACTTCAACGAGATCCCCTTTACAATGATGAAGGTTTCAACACTGTGTTAGAGTTCATACAAGTTCGAAACAATCCCAAAAATAGCGAAATTGGAGATTATAGAACTGATTTTCGCACCTATTTTGTGGAGAAAAATGTAGAATGTGTATCAAGAAAATCAATTTGGAATTGGGAGTTGATTTTTTGAGATCGATGTGGACTTTTGAGATTTTTGAATATTGAAGTTTAGAGAATTTGGGTTTTTGATTTCAGCTGTAATTATAGTGGAGATGTAATTTGGTGATTGAGGGCGTGATTCTAGGTGGGTTGGATGTGTGATAGGGCTTATTTGGTGGGGGTAATGTTAGCTTATATATTGATTAACTTCGAAGGGTGAAGTAATATTTTAGTTAATAATTTTACTGAAAAGTAAAAACTGAAATTTTTCTTATGGGGTGAAATTTCCTCTACTTTGAATCCATTTTACTCGTTCAAATCTTAGTCATCTAAAATTCCATTTCAACTTTGCTCTTACGACTATTGTTAATCAATATCATTAATCGACAAAGAAGAATGTCTTGTCATCTAGCATGAAGAATCTTGCCTAAAAATTTGCATTTTTCAAGATATAATTCTCTTAAAACTACAAAAAATTGATTTTATTTTGTACTTCGTTGAATTTTCATTGTCTAAGTTGAAATGGTTGAAGATATGACTGTGATTTTGATCGTTTAACTGTTGCAAAATAATGTTTTGGTTCAAATTAACTAATTAAAAATAAAATTATTTTGTTTGGTCAGCTTTCATTTTCTGAGGGCACAATGGTAATTCAATGTGAACGAGTTGACTTAACTCGAAGCAGAAAAATCTTCGTTCAGCTTCTCCTCCTCTTTTTTTATTTTTTATTGATTACCTCACTTATGGCGGAGGAATACCTAAGTGACAAAATATAAAAACGATCGACACAAGTAGAACCATAACATTAGCAACTATTCAAACCATCATCTACCACATCTTACTTTCTCACATAAGCCCCCCATCATATCCAAACGAAGTAATCCTCTAGCAATCCTTGGCAATTCTGTCCACGTGGTATACCGTTTCAACAAATCTTTAGCTCCCATCCCAGCTAAATAATCAGCCACTTGATTGCTTTCTCTCCACTGATGTGCTATCTGAAAATCGAACTCCTGCAGTAGCTCCACAAGCTTCGTTCAGCTTCTTAGGTCACGAATTCTGCTGCATGTTGTTCACTTCACGGAACCATTTTCAAAGAAAACAACGATTTGCTCATTTTCTCCCTCTCTCTCTCTCTCTAACCCATCTTCTTGAAGCCATGCTCACAAAAAACAGGTCTTGCTTGATAATCTGTGTGTTGTTTTTCTTATGTTTTTCTATAAGCCTTAATCTCTCCGAAGGAGCTGATAGCATCACAGCAAACCAATCTCTGTCTGTAAACCAGACAATTATCTCTGCTGGAGAGACTTTTGAACTGGGATTCTTCAGACCAGGTAAGTCTTCAAGGTATTATGTTGGAACATGGTACAAAAATGTTAGTCAAAGGACTATAGTTTGGGTAGCAAATAGGGAGAATCCCATTTCAGACGTTAATTCTGCAGAACTGAAAATTTTAGATGGGAATTTGGTGCTTATTGAAAAAGCCCATGTTCGGGTTTGGTCCACGAATATAAACTCAACAACCTCAAATTCGGTAGTGGCAACTCTAGGTGATGATGGGAATTTAGTTTTGAGAGATGGGTCAGAACCTAGGACAAGTGAAGGATTTTGGCAAAGTTTTGATAATCCAGCAGATACATGTATGCCTGGTGGCAAAATTGCTTATGACAAACGAACGAAAACAAAGCAGCTCTTTATATCTTGGAGAAATTCTGAGGATCCTGCACCTGGGCTTTTCTCCCTTGAACTAGATCCTAATGGGAGACAGATTATTATAAGATGGAATAGGAATGAACAGTACTGGGCTAGTGGAGCTTGGAATGGGCATATATTCAGTTTAGTGCCCGAAATGAGGCTGAATTATATTTATAATTATAGTTATGAAGATAAGGAAAATGAGAGTTATTTCACATATTCGTTTTATGATCCTTCCTTTATATCTCGATTCGTGATGGATGTTTCCGGGCAAATTAAGCAATTTTCGTGGTCGGAGAATATGAAGGAGTGGAAGTTGTTTTGGTCTCAACCAAGGCAGCAATGTGAAGTGTATGCTTATTGTGGGGCATATGGTAGCTGCAATCAGAATTCATTGCCCTTCTGTTCTTGTTTGCCTGGATTTAAGGAAAAGTTGGAGAATGATTGGAATTTGAAGGATTATTCAGGTGGCTGTGAAAGAGAGATCAATTTGCTGCAGTGTGAGAATGGTAGTACTTCTACGGGGACGAAAGACAAGTTTTTGCCAAATCCTCAAGTTAGGCTACCTAAAAATTCTCAATCGATGATGGCGGGGAGTGCTGGAGAATGTGAATCTGTCTGCTTGAATAATTGCTCTTGTACAGCTTATTCTTACGATGGCAATTGCATGGTTTGGAATGGGGAAATAATGAATTTGCAACAACTCTCGGAAAATGATGGCAGTGGGAGAACTATCTATATTCGACTTGCTGCCTCTGCTCCTCAGTTTTCGAGCAACAAAAAGAATAAAGGGGTTGTCATGGGCGCTGTTGTGGGTTCTGTTGCTGTTGTTATGGTGCTCTTGGCATTTGTTGGGGTCATGATCTGGAGACATCGAAGGCGTAGAGTTGGAGCTAAAAAAGCCGTTGAGGGTTCAATGGTAGCATTCGGGTACAAGGACTTGCAAGTTGCAACCAAAAATTTCTCAGATAAGTTGGGAGGAGGAGGTTTTGGTTCTGTTTTCAAAGGGACATTGCCTGATTCAACTGTCATAGCTGTCAAGAAGCTTGAGAGCATCAGCCAAGGAGAAAAGCAATTTCGGACTGAAGTAAGCACTATTGGGACGATTCAGCATGTTAATCTTGTCCGGCTTCATGGATTTTGTTCTGAAGGTGATAGAAAGTTATTGGTTTACGAATACATGGAAAATGGCTCCTTGGATTCACAGCTTTTCAATGTCAAGGAGTCAAAGATTTTGGACTGGAATACAAGGTACCAAATTATGTTGGGAATAGCTAGAGGTTTGAGTTATCTCCACGAGAAGTGCCGGGACTGCATTATTCACTGTGACATAAAGCCAGAAAACATTCTTTTAGATGCTGAATTCTGTCCCAAAGTCGCAGACTTTGGTTTGGCAAAGCTGGTGGGGCGCGATTTCAGTCGGGTTCTGACAACCTTAAGAGGAACAAGAGGTTATCTTGCACCGGAATGGATATCCGGCGTAGCAATAACAGCCAAAGCCGATGTTTACAGCTTTGGCATGATGCTTTTTGAATTCATATCTGGGAGGCGAAACTCTGAGCAATCTGAAGATGGGATGGTTAAATTCTTCCCATCTTTTGCTGCGAGTGTGATAGCAGAGGGTGGCGACATTCTTGGCCTATTAGACCCTGCATTAGATAGACACGTTGATGCAGAAGAGGTATCGAAAATATGTAAAGTTGCTAGTTGGTGCATACAAGATGAGGAAAATATTAGGCCATCAATGGGCCATGTCGTTCAGATTCTTGAAGGCATCTTGGATGTGAACTTGCCTCCAATCCCACGATCTCTTAAATTGTTCGTCGAAAGTCAGGAACAGATAGTGTTCTTCACTGATTCCTCCTCGGGCCAGAGTTCTCAAACGCTGTGCGGACTGCCTCTCAATCCAAGAGAACCACATCAACAAATTAGCGCGTAAAGATTGAAATAATTATAATTGTTATACGTATATTATTCCTCTGATTTGATAACTTCAAAATTTAAATAACCTGTTACGCGTATTAGATTGGTGTATATTCAACCTCAGTTGTATTAATTGATTTTTGTTGAGAATTAGAAATCCTAGTTTTATATTACCAAAAACAATACTGAGATTTTTAGGTCTCCACGTAGAAATCATGCGGACGTATGGATTAATTGAAATACATTTACAAGTCGAAGAGGGACGTGATAGCCTTACATCCAAAATTATGTCAAAGGGGG